TCTCTGCAGCTGGATTTGGGGCAAATCTTCAGGTTGCAGAGGCTTTGGAAGCTACCAGGTGAACTTACCCAGTTCACAACCCTAAACCCTAAACCCTCAACCCTAAACCCTAAACCCTAAAACCCTAAGCCCAGGACTTCAAGCTCCGAGCTCTGAAATCCGTGCTGGTCATGGCCGGTGACCTGAAGCGCGCGGCCGGCGATCTGCCGGAAGACAAGGCGGGGTTTAGGGTTTAGGGTTTAGGGTTTAGGGCGCTTCAAAAGGGCTTAAGGTTGGGGGCCTGAGGAATTAGAATAGGGGTTTTGGGGGGTTCCGTTAAAGGGTTCCTTAAAGGGTTCTACAAGGGTCACTCAATAAGGGTCTAGGGTCTAGGGGCTTTAGTAATTAATTAGAATAGGGTTTTGTGGTATATTGTACTATAATTATAATAAGGAACCCCACAATAGTATAGGTAATGATTAAGCCCCGTATATTAGGGCTTTCCTAGACGGGTTGCTGTAAGGGATCCTAAACTATAAGGGGTCCCAAAAGGGTTACTATAAGGGTTCCCATAAAGGTTCCTCAAGTTCCCCATCAGGTTTACTTTCAGGGAGGGTCGGTATAAGGTTTGCACATAAGGGTCCCAAAAAGGGTTGCTACTAATTCAAACATAAACACGGTGCCTTTCAGGTTGCTATAAGGGCTTACGACAAGGGTTGCTATTCTGAGGGTGTTGCAGGGGTTCGGGTTTTGAGGATTTTGAGTGCTTTTGAAACCTCAAGGATTCACAAACTATAGAAACCGGCCGCCCTTCATAACCTCTGAAGGTATGACCTTAACCGTTTACGTTTCGGGCCGTTTTTGTCAGAGGTGCTGATGCGAGCTCTCCGAGACATGAACATGCCCAAGTTCGTGAAGCAGGACGTTCCGCTGTTCCAGGGCCTCTTGAACGACCTCTTCCCGGGCCTGAAGGTGCCACGCGAGGGAAACCCTGGTCTGAAGGATGCGATCATGAAGTATTTCGATGACAACCAGATGCATTCGAAGTACGAGGATATCTACCAGCTGCAGGTGGACAAGGTGATGCAGCTCTACGAGACGATGCTCACTCGTCACTCCACCATGATCGTGGGACCCACGGGTGGGGGTAAGTCTGTGGTTCTGAACTGCCTTGCGGAGGCACAGAAGACGGCCCTCGGGCTGCCGACCACACTTCTGCCGCTGAATCCAAAGGCCATCACCACGGAGGAACTCTACGGCGTGCTCGATCCCCAGACAAGAGACTGGACGGATGGGCTGCTGTCCAAGATCTTCCGTGAGATGAACCAGCCACATCCCGCAGACAAGCCTTGCAGGAGATACATCCTCTACGACGGCGATGTCGATGCCATCTGGATTGAGAACATGAACTCCGTCATGGATGACAACAAGCTCCTGACCCTGACCAACGGAGAGCGTATCAGGCTCGAGAAGCATTGCGCCATGCTCTTCGAGGTTTTCGATCTTCAGTACGCCTCGCCCGCCACCGTGAGTCGATGCGGCATGCTCTACGTAGATGACAAGAACCTGGGCCCTGGCCCGTACTACGACCGGTGGCAGCGACTGAAGCAGACAGAGAAGCTCCGTGAGTCCTTGGAGGATTTGTATGAAAAGTATGTTCCGCACTTGATCTCCTTCATCTTCGACGGCCGACAAGGCGATCAGATCGGGTCACCCCTCACGGGCTTCATCCACCGCTCGGGCATGGGCATGGACTCCGTGGTGCAGTTCACTCGCCTCTTCGACTCCATTTTCGACGAGGGAACGACGCCCATCGACTTGGTGGAGAACATCTACATCTTCTGCTTGACCTGGTCTCTGGGTGGTCATCTCGACGAGAAGGGCCGTGTGGAGTTCAACGATTTCATCAACAAGCTGGCCCAGAAAGTTCTCCCAAAGCAGTCCCTCTTCGACTCCTACTTCGACTTGGAGCAAGGGCGCTGGACATCCTGGGAGGATTTGATGGAGGCTTTTGCCCCACCTCCGGGCATCGACTTCAACAAGATCTTCGTGCCCACCATCGACACGACGCGCTACTCCTACCTGGTGAAGCAGTTCCTGAGCATGAACCAGCCAGTGCTCTTCATCGGCGAAAGTGGCACTGCCAAGTCCGTCACCATGCAGAACACCCTGGAGAGTTTCAGCGCGGATGCCTCGGTGATCTTGAACATCAACTACTCCTCTCGCACCAGCAGCTTGGATTTCCAGAGAACCATGGAGGACAACATCTCGAAGCGTACTGGCCGAATCTTCGGACCAGAGCAAGGAAAGAAGCTGCGCATCTTCATCGACGACTTGTCAATGCCAAAGATCGACCTCTACGGCACCCAGCAGCCTTTGGCATTGCTGAAATTCCTCATGGAGCGCATGTTCATGTATGAGCGCGGCGGCGACTTGGATAAGATCATCATCCAGGACTGCCAGTTCGTGTCCGGTATGCAGCCTCCGGGTGCGGGACGCAACACCATCGATCCCCGTGTGGTGTCTCTGTATGCCTGCATCGGAATTACCTTCCCGGCCGGCGATACCGTGGAACGAATCTACTCGTCCATCCTCAAGAACAGCTTCCTCGGCTTCGACAATGCAGTGCAGGAGGCCAGCTTGCTCTTGCCTCAGGTCACGATGAGCCTCCACCAAGCGGTTTTGGACAACTTGCCACCCACGCCGACGAAGTTTCACTACATCTTCTCACTGCGCGACCTGAGCCGTGTCTTCCAAGGCATCTGCCAGGCTGACCCGCAGGTGGTGAACAGCGCATCTTTGCTGATTAGGCTGTGGCGGAACGAGTGCACACGTGTCTATGAGGACCGCTTCAACGAAGATTCGGACAAGGCCTTCTTGAGTGAGAAGCAGCTGCACAATATCATCAAGACGCAGTTCCAGAAGAGCGCAGATGCCGCGCTCCAGGATCCTCTCGTCTGGGGCGACTTCCGCGATGCTTTGGACATTCTCGTCAAGAGCGACACGCCCTACTCTGCACCACGGGTGTACGAGGACCTGGGCAGCTGGGAATCCATTCGCCCTATCTTCGACGGCATTCTCGAGCTTTACAACGGTGATAATAGTCCCATGAACTTGGTTCTCTTCAACGATGCCTTGGCACACCTCGTCCGGCTGCACCGCATCATCCGCCTCACCCGGGGTATGGCCCTGCTGATTGGCGTCGGTGGCAGCGGAAAGCAGTCGCTCACGCGGCTGGCGACCTTCGCGGCCGGCTACAAGCTCTACGAGATCACGCTGTCCCGAGGTTACGGTGACGATCAGCTGCGTGAGGACCTGAAGGCCTTGTACACCATGACCATAAAGCAGCCGATCAGCTTCCTTTTCACGGATGCCCATGTTGTGGAAGAAGGATTCCTGGAGTACATCAACAACATTCTGACTGTAGGCATGGTGCCAGCACTCTTCGGAGACGATGAGAAGGAGCCTTTGGTTGGTGCCATCCGGGCGAGGGCGCGTGGTGAAGG